CTTGGTCTTTTACTTATGTGGATTACTTGACAACATAGAAGGCAGTTTACTTAGCAGCAGCAGCAGATAGGGGTATGCAAACCCCTGCTTTGAAAAGTCAGAATTTAGAGAGCAATATTTTTGGTAAATACCGAAGGAGATTTTTTTTTTAATATAAATTTGAGCATTTTCTCCTTGAGTTTCATAAAAAGTAGCTAACACTGACCATGCATCTTTGAACCTTTTCTTCCCCCTTGCACTTTTTATGATGTTGTGTGACACAAAAGCGATAACAGGAGTGAAAAATATGACAAAGTATGTAACACCAATGCCTGCTTCCTCCTCTGAATAACAATCTATCAGATACGCTGCCAGGAGGAAGACATTTGTAGTGCTAAATAGAATGTTCACAATTTCATGGGACCTATGCCTTTAGGCAAGAAAACGATCTAAAGGTATTCACTGCAGCAGAAGGTGACCATAAAACTACTCACTTTCAGAACTAAGGAAAGCAGTAAATTTTGTCTCAGATTTCTCAATAATTTATTGATATTCTTATTCATTCTTGAACAGAAATATTTAACAGAGAAAAAAAGATTCATCAGAAATTTTTGAACCAAATTAGAAGACAAGTGCAGAAAGGAGGAATAATGCGATATCTTCTACTTTAAAATGTTTTGTAAGTGTTCAGATAGTATTATAGACTTTTGTCCATCTCTTTTACGTTATTATGTAAGGGTTTCTTATTAGAACCTTGAAATTCTGAAAGTACTGTCTTGTATAGTGTAAGTTAAACATGAAGAGACATTTTGATGTCAAACTTAAGAAGTAACAACTGCTCATATGACTGTGATAAACTGTGGCAAAATGAGAGGATTTGCCCTAAATTGGCTGACTCCAAGGTCTCTAGCCTGTTTGGAGATTAACCATAGACCATAAATGATTTAGATTAAACAATCCAGCAAATTTCCATCCTTAGGCTATCATACACTGGGTGAAAGACTAAATTAAGAAATAGCTGTGTTTACATACCTGATGACATGCCAGGCTGGAGAGTGAGAATTGACTAAACTTTTACCCTTATATTTTGCTCACCAATTTCATTGCTGGAAGCAGATGAGGAGCAACTTGTGCTGATGGGTTATATTTCTTCAGAACTTCATATAATTATGTCCTGGCATAAAAAGTTCGTGCTTGCATCACAAGTGTGTTTCTGGGAAATATGGTAGGTGTGACAAATGCTTGTAGCATGTTTATATACACAAGGTATAAAACCAGGCCACTTTTTTTTTTTTATTTGCAACTGGAGTCTTGTTTGAGATTATGACTTTTAGAAGGCTTCAAACAGTTGAGATCTGTGTTAGTAGGATAAAATAAATAAATGTGGAATTGCAGTCCACACTATGACACGGCTGTCAGGCACTCAGCATACTGGGATTTTTAGACTGCAATCTCTTTCTGTATTTCTGAACTCCTATCACAACACTGTTCTTTCAGTCCTACAGATGTAGACGTGTTGGTTTTATGGAGTTGTGTGTTGTATGTTTTGATAGCTTTTTTTAATTTTGGGTGGTTTTTTTTCAAGCAAGAGTATTTTATAAATGGATTAATTATGCTGTACTGCTAGTGTCGACACATTTGTTAAAAATAACTTTTTTATGCCTTGATCTTGAAGATTTCCTCAGAAGAAATTCTCGAGGGATTCTTTTTCCTATAATTTCAATGAGCACTCTGTTCTGTTTGTATTTAATATTAAGATTTGCTATTTCTTTAATTGCAGTTTACTCAAGCAGGGAGTCTGTCAATGAACAGTTTTGGAGAGTAACAAGTTTTTTTTTGTTATTTCAAATAGTATTTTCACATTCCATAATGTTCTCTATTCAGGAACATCAAAATATATTATAAACATAATTGGTAGAGGAATTTTCTTAAAGCAGTTTTTGAGCGGATAAACAGAAGTATAGAGAAGTAATTTTCCTAATGCTACAGAGAAAGTGTTTTGGGAATGTAGCTTGGTGGGTTTTTTTTTTCCTTTTTTTTTTCCCTTTTTTTTTTTTTCACCCTACTGAGTTGTAGGCAATATTCCATACAACTTAGAGCATGGAATAAGAAATGTATTGCTTTATTTCCCTTCCATCTTCATTAAACAGATTTCATGATGAGAAACTTAGAGTCATTTTCAGGTATTCTCAAAAGCAGTTGGAATTGTGAAACAGGAGCTCTTTAGGAAAAAAAAAAAACAACAACACACTAGGTCTAAAACTATTTCAAGAGTTTCAGAGCTTACTTCCTTTATTACTCTTTATGGTTTTGCTTGTGTCCCAAAGAAAATCTTGTAGTGGGTAAGAAATTTTATGAAAAAATATTTTTTCTTTTGTATGTTGTTTCTTTGCCCCATAGTTCATCTCTTATGGAGTAGTAATTTGTCAGTATTCTCTTAGTTGTGTGCAGAAGTATTGAAGCAAGGAGATATTTTCAAAACTTCTGCATTGAAATAGATCCTTCTTACCATTTAATTTAAAAAAAGCGAAATCAAATGAAAGAGCAAAGAAAACCCGAACTCCAAAACCCATTAGCAAATAATACAAAGATTAAAGGATATGTTTTTAAAGGTTGAAAAGAAATTGAAGTTAAAGACTGTGTAAAGTTTTCATGTGGTCTGGCTAAATGTGTAGTTCCATTGACTCATTGTGGACTGCCGAAATGCTTGAATCTGAGCTGATACCGAAGAGCTGTGTTTAGAGCTGGGTCTTGAGCAACAGGAAAAAAAAAAGGTGGAAAGTCTAAAAATCTCATCTAAGGGTGACTTTAAATGTATTTTCTTGCTTCAGACTACTTCCAGGGCAGAAAGATGATTTAGTTATTAAAAATGTTAGCTCTATGTAAAACTCAATGTAAATATGTACAGGTGACTTTTTCAGCGGTTTTGTTAACAATTACTTGGTTTTAAAAATAGGCTTGCCTTTAAACTATACTCTTAGCCCCTAGTTCTCCTAAACTGCTTCTAACGTGAGTCAGACAATGAGTCCTTAACTTATAGTGGTGTTTGAACACAAATAAAATATTCAATCTACTGCATATATCAGTGCTTCTCTGAGAAGCAGGATTGACTAATCCAGCAGGAAGGTTGTAGTAATACAGCTTCCACCTTTTAGATATTCCTGTGTATTACTGTATTTGTCACATGTAAAAATATGTAATATATCTAAATGATCACCACTGAGAAAAAACAGTAATGGGCAGATGTTTCACAGATGAAGAACTCCCTACTGCAAAGCTAAAGGCAATGAGAAATTAAGAGCTTTTTCTAGACTGATTTTTAATACAGTATTGTAGCAGTGCAAGGCTGTGTAGAGGAGAAGGTGATTTTGGATTAAACAAAACTGATTTCATTCATCCACACTCATTGTATTGTACTCCTATACTAACAAGCCCTAAAATGTGTCCAAATAGTCTAGCTAGGAACTTGGGGTGATGCTAGGATAGGACACCTAGCAATTCCTTTTCATGACTGTTGAGTTGTTTTTAAACGCATGGTTTTGGATATAGAATCATAGAATCATAGAAAATTCAGGTTGGAAAAGACCCTTGGGATCATTGAGTCCAACTATTAACCCTACACTACAAGTTCACCCCTAAACCATATCACCCAACACCACATCTAAACGACACTTGAACACATCCAGGGATGGCGACTCAACCACCTCCCTGGGCAGTCTGTTCCAGTGTCTGACCACTCTTTCTGTGAAGAATTTCTTTCTAATGTCCAGCCTAAACCTGCCCTGTTGTGACTTGCAACCATTGCCCCTGGTTCTGTCCCTAATTATCTGTGAGAAGGGACCAGCACCAACCTCTCTACAATGTCCTTTCAAGTAATTGTAGAGCATGATATGACTCTTGCATTCTGAAGAAGTTGACAGTGATTGTAACTTTTTTTTTCCTTCAGCCTGTCCCACATCCGTGAGTCAATAGGAAACAGAAAATGCTGACGATTTATTTGTTGTTTCTGTTTGTTTTCTTTTTTTTTTTTAGGATATTTTTTCTTGTCTCAGTACCTCGACAACATCTACAATCTTAATATCTTGATGCCATCAACCCTGTCACTCTGCTATGTCTTCTCCTAATTTCTTCCTTGCCTTTATACCCTTACATTCGAATTCACACTTTATTTATACTAGTCTTAATGTTTTCATTGCAAACCTCTACAATTCGATGCTGGAAAAAAGATCTCCTATTCCTATTGCAAAGCGCATGCCTTCAGGCTGCTTTTATGTACATATGCATAGAGTGATTTGGGCATTTAAAACAATCTCTTATAGCAAAACCTTATCAAAGCACAGCATGATTCGTGTGGCTTTCCCTGGGTACAGTGGAAAAGAGAACAAAGCACACAGTTGTGTTAAAAAGTATTATTCTAATGGATGGACTCTAAGAGGCTATATAGAGTGGTACAAACTAAGCAACTTACTTCAGGCACAATATAATATAAAATTGAAAACATAATATGTGTCCCAAGAGAGCTAGAGTTTCCCTTTAATATGATGGTAAAATTGTAGCATATAGATTTCCAATGTCACAAAATCAAAAACACTTTATGAATTTAGTATTGAAATTCTGTTCCAGGTTTAAGGAAATGATGACTTCTGTAATAAAAAAAATGTGGAAATATTAATGCATAGTGACAATGCTTAGTATTCTGCCTTTGACAACTATAATTAGAGGAAGTTAAGATGAAGTAACTTTTTTTCTATGAATCCAGAAAATCATAGAATGTATCACACTGATATCAAATTAGTGCACAAGTAGACATCTTCTTTGCTAGGGAAATCACTGCAGAAAATAGGCATCTAGACTGGTATTTTTTCAAGGAATTCCTTGTAAACCATTCCTAATGATTGTCCTCCTTTTCAGTTGGCAGTGGTGATTTGTCTGATGTCTCAAATGTCAGTTAGCCTAAGATAAAGGGAGGACGTGAGCAGCGGGTATGCAATCTTTTCTTTATCTCTCCTTCAATGTTTCAGGAGTTTTACTTTAAATGTGGAGCACACCCAACCAGTGACAGTGAAACATCGGTGGCTTTGAACCTCGTTACAACAAACAGTCGCGGTATCACATGTATAACATGCACAGATATTAGGTAAGTACAATGAAAAGTGTCAGAGATGCACTGTCTCGGTGCTGTAGAGTACTTATAAATTTCAAAGAGCTTTTTTTCCTCTGCTGGTTTTCCTTTTTAAATCGGTTTCGTTGGGTTTTTTCCTTGATTCTGGTATCCTAGTGGAAAATGGGTCACATTGTCAGGTATGTTTTTCCTCATATGATTGCAGTTTATATTCTTGTACCTTAGTTGAGTTGCAGGTGGAAAGCTGGCTGCTTAAGATGCAACAGCTTCAGGTGCTGAAGATAGTGGATCAGTGTGTAGATCTTTGTTGCTAATCCATATTTAAGAGCCAGTGGAAGAAAACCTGATTTTGAGAGGGACAAACTGTTCCTGCATGGAGCAACTTTTGGGTATTTGTTTTATAAATCAAAGTAAAATTTCTTATGATGCATCTGTTCTCATGTTCTTGTTTACTGCAGTTTTAAATGCTGTAATTCATCTTACCGTATGGTATTTGGGCACATACATTTAAGAATACCATTACTTGCAAATGCGTGAATTAAAAACCGATTGCTCAAGAAAGACAGCTACTGTTGTCTCAGAGAGTCACCTGAAACATTTATCTGCTGATTAGGAGATGCTTTGAGGTGGGACCTCAAAAACAATAACACGATGTTAGCTACTCCAGGTATTGCTATTGATTGGTCTCCATTTGGCAACAGAAAAAAAGAATTTAGAAAAACCTTATAGGATAGCAGGAAGCATGAACCTAGTATAATTATTATTATGTTGTGCTTGCGTGCTACTGCATTGATAGCAGTGGATTGGTTGCTGACGGTATTTGGCTCAAGAAAAGGAGACTACCTTGCAGGCAGTACATGGCGAATTACTTAGCTTGTCCCCAATGGTTAGGTAAGCAGCAGTATTAATCTCTCTCAAAGGATAATATCATTTTTCCTTTTTTTTTTTTCCGAGGAACAAGAGAGGAAAATATCAGCCATAAATATGCTTACTTAGGCTTGCGAACTGGTTATAATTATTTCTACCAAATTTAAAATGTTGACATTTTCCTGAATTGGTAGTACAGGCCTATTCACCTATATTCATGAAGTGCTTTGTGGCAAAATCTGAAAGGAAAGAAAGAGGTAAAACTTAGTTTTCTGGCTTTGCTTAGTTTAACTGCTACTAGAACTAACTATTGGCCTTCTATACTTAAAAGGTTCAGTGGAATTCTTTATTGACATGTCACAAAAGCATATAAGTTCTTACTAATTTAAGACATCAGATAACTATGGGAGACCTGACTTTCAGTATACTCCTAGCTCAGCACAGAATCTGGGAATATTGATTTATGAATAAGCTTATACACTAAAGAGGGAAGGAAGACAATCTTCCTGTTGGCCTCAGGTTCTTTCTAGCTTACAGGACCCCTTCTGAGATGCTGTTAAGTGATCTTAAAGTATTTTATTTCTAAAATTTTGTTGGAGTTCTGTCCAAATACCCCAAGTAGCAGGGTAGGATTTGGGTACCTGAGCATTGGACAAAGCACAAGCAATTCCTAGTTATTTATCCATGATGGGGACAAGAGATTCTTTGAAGTTACTCATAAATAGAATAAATCTTTCAGTCTTCTCTTTATTTTGCATAGCAGATTCAGCTGCCAGTAAATAGTTTTGCCTTCTTTTATGGAGCATAGAAGTACTTCCTAGATAATGAAAGTTCAGTTTAGTTTTATGAATGTCTCACAGATTTTATTTGATCATAGCAAGATCTCTGATGCCTGTGGCATGAGAAGATGATTAGGTGGAAGATATTACAAAACCAGCCTACAGAGCAGTTGTATTCCCTCCAATGCAGTTTTAAAGGTAGCAAATGCATTAATACATTTATGTATTAGTACATCCTAGAGCTGTAGGTTTTCTCTCTTGTTCCTCAAGTGTTGCAGTGAAATGAAGAAGAGGATATTCTGTCCTCTGCCCTGTTTTATTCTTTCTAAGATTTTGTCTGACTTCTGTTCTTCTGCATACCTCTCAATCTCAACCTACTTATGATCAGGTCTCTTATACTGGCCTATGGAACTGCACAATTAGAGGTTGAACAACTGGACAAAATAGAATTTGGATAATTAAATAATTTATCAGTGTTGCACAAAGGTCATTATAAATTGTTGGGCTCCTTATGAAATCTCTGCTCAGTTTTTTGAGTTTGTGATTCTTTTCTCCAGCCAAGTGTTCTTGGAATGCTTGTATAGAAAAATTTCACAAATACTCGTAACCTTTTTACTTTAGTTAAACATTTAGGTTAAACATTTATTTGTGCTGGCAATTACTTTCTAGTACTCCTATACAGCTGAAAAGTGCATCCAGGGCACTATGCAGTTTGTAGTATTTTGTGAAACCTTCTTTCATCATTCTATAGCATTCAGGTGGAGAAGACGAATAATTATTTGACACCTTAACTATTACTTGTACTAGTTTCACTGCAGTAAAATAAAAACCAAGTCTGTCTAGTTTTCAAAATGTGTTTTTCTTTCTTTTTGAAGAAAAAATTTAAACAGAAAAATATGACCACCAGGTACTTAAATATTATTATTCATAGAAAGAAATGCCATTTCTCTGGTTGATTCTGGCTATTTATCATGGACAGTTAGTCCACCACAGGCAGAGAAGTTAAGCTCCAAGATTCTTGGCACGACATATGTATGGTTTTAGCAAAGTTTGCAGAGCTCATTAAAATCATATTTAAAGTAGTAGTGTACTCTATGGTATATAGAAAAAATACAAAGTGAAAGTAACATTTAAGCATATTACCAGTTTTTATTTTCAAGTTTACATTAGGCACACATTTTGTTTGCCTTGGGTTTATAGTTTATGTGAATATTTTGATGCAGCTCTGACCAACAGAGTGAAATATTTCAGAGCCAAATACCCTTGTAGGGTTATGCTAAATCTATAGGCAGTATTCCATGTAGTGTAATGCCTTCCAATGTATGCTGCTTATCTACAGCAGAGTTAGTGTGAATTGGCAGCCCTTATGCATTTATTTTTTTCAGTAGCATTCAAGGTGATGGGTTGCTGTTTTATGTCTTTGAAGAAGCTCTTAATAGGTGGAGCAAATTCCTGAAAGTTGAAACAAATACTAAAACTGTGTAATCCTCAAGGGAAGATCTGCTTTTGTCAACTGTTTCCAGCAGAAATAACATCAAAAGGGGTTAGGAGTACTCCAGGGTACCCATAAATCAGGCTCAGGAATAACAGCAGTGTTAAGCAGTGTAAAAATAAAATGTGCAGAAGTGCGTCACGTCATCTTTAACAAACTAGTAGGGTACAACTCCTAAAGACACCATTTTTTTTTTAGCTTCAGGAGAAGTATTTGCTGGTTGCATTATCAGATTTTTTTTACTTCATAATCTTGGACAAAAAGTTTTGTTTAGACAATGGAATCTTGTAATATGTTGTTCTGTTACTTGAACTTCCTAATACTAGAGTTGGAAGTGAGAGCTTTATTTTGTTAATGGTAAGAATGGTAAGAAGTGCATATGCTAGATGTTCTTCAAGGGTAAGTGCAATTTAAGGTCTTTGTCATAACTCTTTTCAGCCAAATCAATTCAGACTGATCACATTAGACTCCATGGGCAGGAGAGTATTAGAGAAGGTCACTACTCAGAGGGAAAAACTCAAAGTGAATGTGCTATAGGGAGTCCTGTTAGAAATTCTGTAGACAGCTCTCTTCTCCTTCAGTCAATAAAGAATGGATGACTCTGAATGTCGTTAGGGATAACTGTGTGTTAATCTGGTTCTGGTGGGACTACTTTGAGCCTCCTAGGCTTCTCACTAGCTCTTAATCAGCCGTCTTTCTTTTTTTTTTTTTCCCATCGTTTGTTTTTGGTTTTTTTTTTTAAGGAAAAGTACAATTGACAAAATCTGTCCCTCCAGCAGCAGTTAGTGCCATCCCCCTATCACTCCTATTCACTCATTTCCATTATTGTAGAGTAAAGATTGTGAGTCATTAGCTTTATTTTTACGGAACAATATTTTCAAATTTTTAAGGGATGTATTTACTGAGAAGCAAATGATTATATATGTGAATGATTTTCAGTTGTGGATATTACCTGCCAAAAGAAGACCAAATCCCACAGCTTGTTCTGGGGATTAGAACTTCTATAATGTAATATTTTGAGCTTTGATCTCTGTGCTAGTGTTGTTGGTATAGGAGGTCTGCTAAGTTCCTTATTGACCAATTTGTGCCGTCCCATGTTGTGCATTAACATTGTACGTTGCTTTGAAGTAAAATATTTCTTCTGTTACAGTTTAAAAGATTGTTTAGAAACATCTGAAATAACTTGCCTTACCTTTCTTTCTTTTTGTGCATAGCTGGTGTTGATGCAGTCTGGATTTTAAATAAAATGAGAAAGAGTATCAGAGGAGGAATATAGCAGTGAATATGATGAAAAGTATATGAGGCAGCAGATCTGCCATGGCATCCAAAACCTTTAAAATACAAATAATTCCAGAACCTCTAGTTTCATGATGTGAACCAAATGTTATAACTGAAGGGACAAATCTGTAAAATTCAGCTTCTGATAAGAATCAATATCTGAATTATAATCATTTTCAAAATGAAGAAGCTGTCCTACAAATTTGATTTGGGTCACTTTTGCTGTGATTTGAAGGGAGTTTTACCAGGGACCTTCTGTTCCCTTCCAACATCAAAATGCAGAATGTGTCAATTAAAAGACATTGCCCGTGTGAAATTTTTCAGAGCAGTAAATAGCACCTTATTCTAGACTTATAATTGCTGTTTCTCCTTGCCTCTGGAGTACAGGATCCTGAAATAACCCCTGGGGGTGTTACAATTCAAGCAAGTTATTAAATCTGTATTCAGCTCATCTTTTTTAAACTATGTTTTCCCTTTCTGTGACCTGTGTTGGTAAAACATGATCTCTGCTCCAAATCTCTGCCTGTTACATTTGTTGTCTTTATATACCTCGAGTAGTTCAAAGAGGAATGGGAAAAGATTATGTTAAGAATTAAATC